TTTAAGAAAAATGGGAGGGAGGCCCCTTGACGTGACATGGGCTGTCTCTCCTTCCTGTTTTTCTGGTTCTCAAAATGGCAGACGCTCGGTGTCGTTTGAGCTCTTTAGCATAGCATTTTTCACACAAAGCTTTTAATAACAAATCAGCAAACAAGTTCTCAGCTTTTTTTTGCAGAGAAAAACAACTTTTTACACGAAGGCACAGGTTTCAACCGGGAATTTTGGAGCTTCAACAAGACGGAGGTTTTGTCCTGAGGTTGGCCTGTTAGCTTAGCTCATAGCTTAGCTGCTTTTAACGAGCCAAAAACGCGACGGACGGTTAAAACAGATTTTAAAGAGAAAGGGAGGGGTCAGTGAAGAGCACCGGAGTTGAGCCTTTTGTCATCCAGTGTCTTCAGTAGAAAGAGAGACATGAAGAAACGATAAAGCCGATAAATGAAAATGAGGTTGATAATTTTAATTTACCGGTATCATACGATTATTTGATTTATTGTTTATCGCGACAGGCCTATTCACACCAAATAATTACATTTAGGATAAAAACAAACGGAGCCTGCTGTTTTCACTGCACGATAAATGCTCTGAAATGACAAAAAAATCTGACTTCAACACTCACAGTAGTAACAATCTGAGAAAACTCCATGAAGGAATGCATTTCATCAAAGATCTATTAGTACTCAAACTGTTACATGTAGATAACTCTCAACTACTACTACTACACCAAATAAATAAATAACTAAAATAAAGGTGTGCTGATTTTTACACACTAAACCATCCGAAGGTCGAGGTAAAGTTAACTGGTGTTTAACTTGTAGTCGAATCATCTCAGTTTGGAGAATCAAGGAGAGACGTTCACGTTGCTAACAGCTAGTAAAAACAAGGTGCGTTCAAGAATACATTTCTACCTTTAAAACAGCTAAAACTAAAATAATAATACAATTTGAACATAATAAATAATAATGATAGTAATGTCATCACAGGCAGCACGGTGGCGCAACTGGTAGAGCTGCTGCCTCTCAGCGAGCAGGTCCCTGGTTCAAATCCCGGTCCGGGGGCCACCGTGACCCAAAATGGAAGAAGCGGGTAAAAGATAATGGATGGATGTCATCACAATGTCATCACTGTATGTTTCCATACACTGGTAAAATTAGTCTCTGCATTTAACCCATCCACCACCAGGTGGTGCAGTGGGCAGCTATTGATAGCGTCGGGGGGCATTTTGGGGATGAGGTGTGCTGCCCAGAGACACCACGAGGTGTGCAGTGACCGGGGATCAAGCCTGGGACTTTCGGGTCCTGGGCCGGCTGCCCTGCCTCTACACTTGGCCCCCATCATCCATCCATTCATCCATTATCTTTACCTGCTTCTTCCTTTTTGGGTCGCGGGGGTCACAGGTGCCCATGTCCAGCCATCACTGTGCGAGAGGCGGGGTACACCCTAGACAGGTCTCCAGTCCATCACAGGGACACATAGAGACAAACGAGACAAATAACCATTCACTCTCTCACTCACACCTAGGGACAATTACCAATCAGTCTAACATGCATGTTTTTGGTCTGTGGGAGGAAACCGGAGTACCCGGAGAAAGCTCACGCATGCACAGAGAGAACATGCAAAGTCCATCCAGAAAGGCCCCTGGACTGGGATTTGAACCAGGGTAACCTGCTCGCTGAGAGGCAGCAGCTTAACCAACTGCGCCACCGTGCTGCCCCCAATTTGAACATGCCATGTTACATAGATTTAAGTTTGTCCCTTTGCCACTGAAAAATGTTGGTGTTGCTATGCTAGCTGCTATGCTAGCTGCTACGCTAACTGCGTACTCTGTGGCTGTTATAGGTATCCTACCTATTTCTGAGTCCTCCAGTTTTACAAAAAAATCTCTCTGCCGATCATTTCTTCCTATAATTAAATTTCTTCAAATCGCTCAAACAAAAACACAATTAACCTCCAAACAACTACTCTTCTGTTTTTGTTTGTTTTGTTGATGTGATTTTATGATTAGCTGCTGCTTGGACAATTACACATCATTGTTGATTGACAAATAGAAGTATAGTAGTTTAGTGTGGTGGTAGGAGTTCAGATTTTTTTTCTTGAATCAACTCTGCTCCTGATTCTCCAAACTGAGACCGCCCCGACTGCTGTCTACTGCAGGTAAGATACTGACTACACATAACTACACTCCTACTTGTGCTATTGATTGCTATTTTACATTTTCATGTTTCAAGACAAAGTCATGAAGAAGTCAGAAAATAGTTTTTCAACAGGATTTTTTTTTTGTCACCAATTTGAATATTAAAAAAAAAAAGATTAAAGGGTTTCTGTAAGTTTTGGTCCCGGAGAGGCGATTAACGCATCTAACGGATGCTGAGTGGTAAATTTTATGACCAGACATCTGTGAGCGGCCAGCTGGTTCTGCTGGGCCGAAGCTGAGGCCGTCTCCTACAGCAGTGCACGCCTAGGAGGGTGGTGCGGTCTCGATTGTTAGAAAAGTTCAGGTCTAAGGTTATTGATCAGTGATTGGAATAGGAAACTGTGTGGGTTTGTGTGTATGTGTGCCAGACTGAGGGAATTAGATTGACCTCAAGGCCTCGGGAGGTCGTGGTTCTGCTGCTGCGTGTTGGTTCTGGCCGATAAATCAGACAAAAACTCTTCTCTGTTGGCAGAGCGACGGGCCGTACATTTCCTTTATCGTCTTGCAGACCAGACGCTGCGGACGACCAATCAGGACAAAACCTCACCAGGGAGATGAAGATTACCTCTGCGTGTGTGTGTGTCTTTGTATTTGTTACCTTGTAGGGCCCATTTCTCCAACTTATACTACATTGTGAGGACCAACTGCCCCATAGGGAGCAGTGTCATTGTTGGGTTATGGGTTAGGTTTAGGACTAAGTTGTAAATTTAGGATGGGTTAAGTTTAGGGTTAGGTATGTACTGGTAATAGTTAGGTTTAAGTTTAAGTATGTACTGGTAATAGTTAAGTTTAGGGTAATGTATGAACTGGTAATGGTTAGGTTTAGGTTTAGGTATGTAATGGTAATGGTTAGGTTTAGGTTTAGGTATGTACTGGTAATAGTTAGGTTTAGGGTTAGGTATGCACTGGTAATGGTTAGGTTTAGGGTTATGTATGTACTGGTAATGGTTAGGTTTAGGGTTAGGTATGTACTGTAATAGTTAGGCTTAGTGTTAGGTATATACTGGTAATGGTTAGGTTTAGGTTAGATATGTACTGGTAATCGTTAGGTATAGGGTTAGGTACTTACTAGTAATAGTTAGGTTTAGGGTTAGGTGTGTACTGGTAATAGTTAGGTTTAGGGTTAGGTATGTACTGGTAATGCTTAGATTTAGGGTTAGGTATATACTGGTAATGCTTAGGTTTAGGGTTATGTATGTACTGGTAATGGTTAGGTTTAGGGTTAGGTATGTACTGGTAATAGTTAGGCTTAGTGTTAGGTATATACTGGTAATGGTTAGGTTTAGGTTAGATATGTACTGGTAATCATTAGGTATATTGTTAGGTACGTACTAGTAATAGTTAGGTTTAGGGTTAGGTATGTACTGGTAATAGTTAGGTTTAGGGTTAGGTATGTAATGGTAATGGTTAGGTTTAGGGTTAGGTGTGTACTGGTAATAGTTAGGTTTAGGGTTAGGTATGTACTGGTAATGCTTAGATTTAGGGTTAGGTATATACTGGTAATGCTTAGGGTTAGGGTTAGGTATATACTGGTAATGGTTAGGTTTAGGTTAGATATGTACTGGTAATCGTTAGGTATAGGGTTAGGTGTGTACTAGTAATAGTTAGGTTTAGGGTTAGGTATGTACTGGTAATAGTTAGGTTTAGGGTTAGGTATGTACTGGTAATAGTTAGGTTTAGGGTTAGGTATGTACGGGTAATGCTTAGGTTTAGGGTTAGGTATGTCCTGGTAATAGTTAGGGTTAGTGTTAGGTATGTACTGGTAATGGTTAGGTTTAGGTTTAGGTATGTACTGGTAATGGTTAGGTTTAGGGTTAGATATGTACTGGTAATTGTTAGGTTTAGGGTTAGGTGTGTACTGGTAATGCTTAGGTTTAGGGTTAGGTATGTCCTGGTAATAGTTAGGGTTAGTGTTAGGTATGTACTGGTAATGGTTAGGTTTAGGGTTAGGTATGTACTGGTAATGGTTAGGTTTAGGGTTAGATATGTACTGGTAATGGTTAGGTTTAGGGTCAGGTTATAGAAATGAATGAAAAATTAATGGAAGTCGATACAAAGTTCCTGTAAAGATAGAAAGACAAACTTGTGTGTGTGTGGCGGTGTGTGTGTGTGTGGGGTTCTCTGATGAAATGATAAATTTGTTTTTATACACATAATTAAAATATGACATAAACTTTCAGAAAAATTAGAACATTTCAACATTATGGCATTTTAAGATGAAAACAGATCTGATTTTTTTCTCTAGTTTCACCAAATTTTGGGTGATAATGTGCTTGCATGTGCTCACTTCTGTTGTGTTAGCAGAATATCTGATGAACCAGTTGATAAATTTAGTTGAAACTTTTAGAAACCAACCGTTGGACATCTGACTATAACTGGTCAACTTTTAAAGTCAGCTCGATACAAAATGGCCGCTGCAGCCAACTGACTGTAGGAAAACAGAAAAAAAAGTTACAACTCAGACAGTTTTACAGATGTTGAGCTAAAATTTGGAGTGGTAGTAGCTAGAGTCATCACCATCACAAAATCCAAAAGCTAACAAATCAAGTACCGGTATATTTATTTTTTATAAATTTAAGCAAAAAGCAAAAAAAAAACAAAAAACTTTTCTTTAAGATAAAAAAAAAAATTAAATTATTTTTATTGATTTATTGTACAGTACAACTAATGGGTCATTACATTTGTAGGTCTGATATATTTTTTTTATCAAATGTCCTTTGAGGATGGTTAAAGGTACATTTCTAACATTTTCCTCTTTCTCGTCTTCCTTTTCCTTCCTCTACTGTTTTTCTTCTTTTCTCTCTTTAAGTTGGTGGCAGCGATAATCGTCATCAGTATCGGGATCATCGCGTCGTTCATCTGCGCCATTATTGACGGGATCATCGCTTCTGAGTTCATAGTAAGTTCTGAGTTCATCGTTAAGTGTTGTATTTAAATAACGGTGAAAACAGAAACACTAATCTACAGAAATTACATTTCTGCAAACGTGCAGCGTGAACACTGAAAGTTACGGTGGCCCTAAGGTGTAAATGAACATTTGAAAAAACACAACAAAATCACAAAAACATTTGAACAAACAGAATTACATTTCAAAAAATGGAATTAGAAAGTTGTAAAACCAGGTTTTAAAAAGCAAAAAAGGAGCAAAACACTAACTACGATTAAAAAAGCAAGCTGCAAAGGACAAAAGTAGCAAAATGCTACGCCAAAGTAGCAAAAAGATAGCTAAATGTAGTAAACGACTATGGCTAAAAAAGCAAAAAGTTAGTTATATTCTAGCTAAAGACTAAAATAGTATAATGCTAGTTAAAATAGCAAAATGTTTGTTAAAAGTAGCTAGTTAAACGTGACAAAAGGCAAACTAAAAACTAAACGTAAATAGGCTAAAATGGGATAATTGTCTCTTTGAAGGGAACCAGAGCTGCAAGATGTGTTGGTTTCAAAGAGCATACATCATGACCACATGTGGGTGCAAGCAGCTAACTAATTTGCTTTGCTAACCCATATCCCATTAATTAGAAAATTTGCTTGACTAATGCTAAACAGATTTAAAAAAATTAGCTGCGGTTAACGTTAAACTGCTAACCGGTAAGACGACTGTCAATCAGTCTGAAGCTGCGTCGACCAATCACGTCTTGTTACGTGTCACTTACACGCAGTCAGACAATAGCGTGGCTAATGGACTCTGTGAGACATGCTCACAACAGACAGGAACAAGCATGTGTATTTTGTTAGCACTTAAATTTGGCGAACCCTAATGTAGCTGAAGCTAATTCCGTTAACCATTTACAAAATTTGCCCAGGCCTCCCTTGCAAAAGAGATATGTGATCTCAATGGGATTTGCCTGGTTAAATGAAGGTCAATAATGATAAATAAATAATGAAATGAGCGAAACCACTAATCCGCTAAATGAAAAGTCAGTTCCACTATTAGCTGTTAGCGAATTATTGGAATGGCCGTATTCAGTGTTGCCAGATAACAGAGGCTGTTTTTAAACAGTATAAACATACATTTATTATGGCATTACACATAAGCAATAGCAAAATTATGCTAAACACTTCGAATAACATACTTTTAAGCTCTGATAAAAAAAAAAACATTTTGCATATGTATTTTTTTCTACATATTTTTACAAACAAAACATCCTGACATCTGCGTGTGGGTGGAACCTGTCGTGGGAACTTTAACAAACAGTGAGAAGTAAGTTGCTGAGACTAAATCAAGAGATCAGATCTGATCTTGCGAGTGTCTTTATTTCGGAATTAGCTGACCTTTTATAGACCTTTCAGTTACACACACATATTTCCTAATACAGGAGTTCTTAAGAAAACAGGTGATAAGATGCAGCCTGAGATCTGAGGTTTAAATCAGGAAAACAGCCAAGTCATCATTATTTTAATGAACAGGGAGGATGATGGATTTGAGATACCCAAGGTCAAGATACCTAAGGTCAGTCAGTACTTTTAAGGAGTACAGGTGATTTGTGATGAAGAAACTCTTATCAGCCTGAGCTTCCAGTGAACCCTTCAGTTACTCATGTGACTATAAGTTTGCTTATTAAATAATTTTACTTTCTATCACAAACTCTCTAGTGGTACAGTATGAGTGTTTGGGGTGTGCGCCTGGGAGCGATAAACAGGAAACGGGGGCATGGAAGGGACAAACTACCTACTATCACCCGTCTTTTGCTTTATTGTGCGGAGCTGGGATCAACTAGTTTCACATGGAAAGAAAGTCAAGCCCAAATACGCAACTTCACGTTCAAAACAAGCCCAAAAAACCGCGACTCACATGATTTGCAAGCGACTTAAAAAAAAAAAACAAGCCCAAAGTTGCTTATAATAAGCAGACTTGGCAACTATGGCCGTATTAAGTCTCAACAAGCTCCAACACCCATCCCTGAGCTGCTGCTCTCCTTAATCTTAGTGAACAACCGAAGGAAGAGTGAGTGTCTGCATTTGAGGAGGAAATCCAAGAAATCACAAGGAGGAAAAAATAAAATGAGCTGCTCTCAGCTGTGTGCAACTTTTGATGTTTGATGTAAAGAGCCGTTCAAAAGATTCAGATCTTTTATGAACTTAACGTCTCTAAAAGAGGCTAACCCATAGCTAAAACTGGCTAAATGCTTGCTAAAAAACATAAATTGTACAAAAGGCTGACTAAAAGCTAGAAGTATTAAAATATGGTGAAATCTGAAAATTGCAGAATGCAAGTAAATGTAAAAGCTAACAGCTAAAATATTAAAAGGCTAGCTAAAAAAAACAAAAGGTAAATTAGCTAAAGGCTGAAAGTAGCAAAAACCTGGTTAAAAGTAGCAAAAAATAGCTAAAAGTAACATTATGCTAACTTAAGCTAAAATTAGCTAAATGCTGGGTTTTATTTATTTTTTCATTCAACCTTTATTTATACAGGCTAGTCTCAGTGTCAGCTTTAAGTTGAAAGTAGCAAAAAACTAGCTAAATACAACAAAACATTAACTAGAAGCTAACCAAAGCTAAAGTAAGCTGAAACCGTGGTCCCACCTCTACGTTGTATCAGTTTTCTAAGAATTAGGCCGTGACACAGTTTGTCTTGGGTGTTGTTGGTCTCCACATTTATTCTCTCTCACGTAGGACAAGACAAATAAAAAAACAACCACATTATAGCTGCCCGCTCCAGTCCTACACAAAAGAAAAATACATAACAAAACTAAAATCAATTTAAACTATTTTAATATCATAAGTTCACTTAAATATTTACAATAGGGGATGGGTATATATATTACAATGGGGCACTTAATAAATCTATACATAAACAGGATGAACTTAGATGAAAATTAATCATCCACCTCTCCCATAGGACACTGTACAAAATGGAGGGTGTAAAGGTTTCAAACTAAGTCACAGGGTTTCAAACTAAGTCACAGGGTTTCAAACTAAGTCACAGCATTTCAAACTAAGTCACAGGGTTTCAAACTAAGTCACAGGGTTTCAAACTAAGTCACAAAACAATACCACAGAAGAAGAAATAAAAAGGAGGAGGGGCTCCCAATCTTAAAGTCACAGTGGTTTCTTAAAGTATTTACAGTCAGTTATATGTACAATCTGAATAAATGGTAAATGTGTATATATATATATATATATATATATATATATAT